TCGGTCCTGCCCCAAAGCTGGTGGAACTCTTTGCCCAGTTCCATCAGGGGCCTGCGGGACCTTATGCAGTTCCGCGGAGCCTGCAAGGCAGAGATGTTCCATCAGGCTTTTGGCTGAGGACAACGACGGTTTTCCATCTTGGCTGGCACCCTTCCCATTCCTTGCTGTCTACATCCATTCGCCCTCCTACCCCGTCCATGAAGAAGCTGGCAGTGGGAGTTGGAAGGAGGATTGGTTATTCACCATCTGTTTGTTTTTAATATTGTATTAACATTTTAATTAATTTTATCTTGTTTTATTTCGGGTTCTCCATCGCCCAGAGCCCAGCAGTAGCAGGGGTGGGGTGATTCATTGATAATGATGATGATAATAAGACAGTGGGGACGATCAGGGCCGGCTCGAGGGGTTTCTGCGCCCTAGGCGAGGCTGCCTTGTGGTGCAGATGCCAACCTCCCGGTGGGGCCTGGAGACTTCTGGAGCCAGCCACCCTTTTGCTACCGCCTCCCCCCCACAGCTGTCTGACCCAGCGAGCACGCCCCACAAGTTTTCTGCAGCGCTCCCCAAGATGGAAGAGAGATTTCTCTCGTGCTTTGCTTCCGAAGGCAGTTTGGGAAGGAGGTGGGGGGGGATCCTGTCTCCAGGCGGGGGATGCTCACCGGATGCCTCTCCCCAATTAGCGAAGTGCTTGCGGGCTTTTGGTGGTGGGGGGGGGAGGCACAGCTCGGCGCCCCATCCAGGGCCCAGCACTCTAGGCGAATGCCTAGTTCGCCTAGTGGGTGAGCCGGCCTTGGGGACGATCGGGGCTGGGTAAAGACAGAAGGACAAGGAACTGTCCGATTCACAGCTAAACTCCAGGAAACCCCAAACCTCTTTGGTCGGAGTCACACAAGCAGTTACAACCAACTCCTTGAAGGGCTTTAACTTCCCTCCTTTCTCCTTGGAACAAGATTTAACGAGAGGGGAAAAAGGATTCTCAGAGGAAAATATGAACACACTTTCCCCACGCTGACTGGCAGGGGTCTCCCAGGGTAGCAGGCAGAGAAAGGCATTCCCCAGCCCCACATCTGCTACCTGTGATTCTAACGTTGTGGGTTTTTTTAAAAAAAACCACGATTAGATATGTGTATTTAATTAATCAGAGGGGAGCAGCCTCTCAGTTGTGAATGAGGAGAGTCAGTGCACGAATACTTTATAGGCATCCTTCAGCCGGAGATGCCAGGAATAGACGCTCGGACCCTCTCTGCCCCCGAGTCCCATCCCTCCCCTCCCCCTCGGCATAAAGAAGTAATCCGAAGAGCTCCATCATATGGAGTTTGCTATCATCAGAGAAGGACCCGCCCCCACCCTTTCCCAGATTGCCTCTGCTCATCCCACATAGAGAAGATGGTTGCTTCCTCTTCAAAAAGGGAATTCTGGGATATCTCCACAGGACACTGCTGAATGCCACTCTCTTTTTTGAGAGGAAAAATTGAGATTGACATACTTTGAACACAAGGTGGGTGAACTGACGTCTCCCCTGCTGGCTTCCAGGGGAAACCCTTCTTCACTTCTACATTCCCTCCCCCTTTTGTGCCCAGTTTGGATGAGCTTCGCAGTCTTGGCCCAGGAGCAGTGATCCTCCTTCCCTGATTCAGCCAGTTCCTTCTGACTTACCACACAAGCGTCTGGGATCCCATGACACCGACTCATCTCCTCACAGCTTGGTAGGTGGCCAGCATGCTGAGGATTACCCCTCTAGAAAGAGGGGGAGCTGCAAGGGGGAAACACAAAACCAACTTAGAGAACCAAGAAGCATCAGGAAAGCCTGAAGTGCTGTCAGGGTTGCCAACTCTGGGCTGGGAAATCCTGGAGACTTGGAGGTGGAGTCCGGGAAAGGCAGAATTTAGGAGAGGAGGAAGTTCGGTTGGGATGTGATGCCACAGAATATGCTCTCCAAAGCTGCCATTTTCTCCAGGGGAACCAATTCCTAAGGTCTGCAGGTCAGTTGTAATTCCAGGAGATATCCAGGTCCCACCTGGGAGTTGGCAACCCGAAGTGCTGCAGACCCCTGAAACCTAGAAGACCTCCATAACCAGTGGTATGCAGATAAATGTTTATCAACCGGCTCTCTGGAAAAAATGTGTGTGTGTGTACAGTAATAATAATAATAATAATATGTACAAAATTCTGTATAGACAATTGATTCTTACAGAATGCTTTCGTCGATTTCTGCGGAACTCTTGTATCCGAAGCCAACCTTTGGCTGCAATTCAACCATGACTTGACAAATGGAGTTGCATCCCAATCCACTATCTCTTTCCCCAAAATGTATTGTCATTAAATTTGATATGTGATCTACTGTTAAACTGTTTCTCACCCTTGTACCAATTATATTCATGTAACTGAAACCTCTTTCAGCATCGGCACTACTGATTGCACTAGGGATGCATCCTAGAGCTCCCAATGACTTTTCAACTGGCTTGTAAAATTCCTGAAAATTTAACAATTGGCTCTCGCAAGCGGATACAAGCTAGCTCCGACATACCAGTGGTCCATCTAAGCTGTGGAGTCTTGTGAGCAAACATTGTTGAGCTACCGGCATGAAAGTTGTGAGCGAGCAATTTGGCTACTGCATAAATTAGTTTGCCCTGGAGCCGTCTTTCCCGAGCTAAGACAAAAATGTGCGAGCTGGAGGCTAAAAAATTGTGAGCTAGCTCACACTAACTCAGCTTAGGGGGAACACTGCAACACACCACTGCCCATAACCAATGCTCCCTCTAAGCCGTGGAGTCTTGTGAGCAAACATTCTACTTTGTGAGACAAAGATCCGTGAGCCGGAGGCTAAAAAACCGTGAGCTAGCTCACACTAACTCAGCTTAGAGGGAACACTGCCCATAACCCCCTTCTCCCTCGACCTCACAAGGACCAACCACACCATCCTCAAATCCCTGAAATCCTCCGTAGACAAAGGTTGAAATCATAGCTGCATTGAAAAAAGGACCTCAATTATCATTCCGGATGATTCCCCGACCTGCATCACCATTCACACATTACCCTTCTCTCAGAAAGTTTCTCACCATAAAGAAAGCCAGTCAGCTGATGGTTGTAGCAAAGTTTAGGAGGCAACACTTTGAAGCGAAAAGGAAAATATATACCTGCCCGATGTGCTGCCATAGCCAAAACAAGTCATTTCCTGATCTCTTACTAAAGGGAATAAAAAGGAGAGAGAATGTGTATTTGGGAAAGGGGAATTCCCAAACACATTTAACACAATGGAAAAAATAGTGAGTGGAGACCTAAAAGAATGAATTTCAGATAGAATCGGATCTTCTCACTTGCTACCAACATCACAAAGAAGGTTGGAATGCAGCTCTAAAGCCAATTTCCTACATGACTTCATAGGAAAGTCCAGACAAGCATATTTAAAAGTGTCTTTGTTTGCCACATTTTTAATTACACCCTTTCCCCCAGTAGCTCCGGGAGCTCCCTTTCCTAACTTTTTGGCCTAAAACGACTATGCAAGGTAGGATAGGCTAAGAGAAGGTGACTCCCCCAAGGTCATGCCTCAAGACGTGTTGCTACATGGGGATTTGAACCTAGGTCTCTCCAGTTCCAGTCTACCTCTCACGTATACAGCAACAGCAGGTGAGAAGTCCAAAAGTCTTTAAAGTGGTTACACCTGTGATTTCTGTCCAACAATGCAGTTTTGCATGCTCACCTGCAATCTCCCATACATTGCAATTGACACCATTTCACCTCCCTATAGAACCCAGGAGTCCTGGCTCCCAACCACTTTCTGCTCCAACCAACTTAACATCCTTCTTGGACATGGCAGTTAAAGATAACACAGCGTATGCAACACACCTTGATTTCAGCAAGGTTTTTATAATACCTGCACAGCTTTAGAAGTAAACTGGAATAAGAGGTGTGACCTTTAAGGGGACGCATAACTGATGGCAAAACCACATGCACGTTGAGGGGTAAAGGTCAAGCAGGGAATTCAAGAAGCCTTTTTGCCCAGTCTTCTCCTATACAAGTGACTAGATCAAAGAGGAATCAATTGACTAGAGTTTGTGGATGAAATGCCCTGACCTGGATGGCCCAGGTTAGCCCGATCTCATCAGGTCTCGGAAGCTAAGCAGGGTCAGTCTTGGTCAGTATTTGGATGGGAGACCTCCAAGGAATACCAGGGGTGTGACACAAAGGCAGCCAATGGCAAACCACCTCTGAAATATCTCCTGCCTTAAAAAACAAGTCTAGCTCACCACCTATTGGCGCATAGCGTTAACAGAGCTAGAACTTCTGGCTGCCAGACAATCTTAGGATCTCCTGGCTATATTATACACAATGCCATACGACGATGATTATAATAATAATGTGGATGAAACAGAACTGGGGGAACTCCATAGACTTCAGGGAATATGGTAAAATTCAGGATGACTTTGTTATCCCGAGGGGGGAATTCATGGAGGATAGATCTGTGACTAGGCTGAGAAAGAGTGACCGGCCCAAGGCCACCCAGTGAGTTTACAAAGTCATCTATTCCTTCTTACCTAATGAGTCTCCCAGGGAGGGAAGGGGGCATGGTACAGCCCAATCTTGTCAGATCCCAGAAGCTAAGCAGGGTTGGTATTTGGAAGGGAGACCACCATGGAAGACTCTGCAGGGGAAGGCAAAGGCCAACCACCTCTACTTCTCCCTTCCCTTGAAAGCCCCTCGCTGGAGTCAGTATGTCAGCTGTGACCTGATGGCACTTTACAGGCACAATGAGTCACCCAAGTAGGTAGAGAAGGCGACATTCTTCTCTCTCTGTGGCCTGGTTTGGGGGCTTCTTCACCCACCCAGAGGCCCAGTAATTTACAGTGATTTGGAGCTCATCTGGCTGGGGACTCAATGTATGTCAGGAAATGTTAAACAGATACCCTTGATCTAGACAGGTGGTCTTCCCAGAAGACACCTCTTCCTTTGTATCTTCTTCTACAGATATAAAGGAACTATCTTTCCACACTTCTGCCCACTTGTACCTATTACCAGAGAATGAATGTTGCATTTCCTTGTTGGGTCTTTGTTTTTATACTTAGCTAACCTCTACTTGAAAATCCACAAATACTTGGCATGGCTTCCGGATAACATCAATAAAACAATAGAACGGTCTTATCTCTCTTCACCCAGACTGTTTTACTTGGACACTAACTATTTTCCTAAAGTCAGATTAGAGGAGAGCCAAATGCCCTTTTATTAACCACCACAAAAATCCTAATTAATATAGTTACAGATTATTTGGGGGGAAAAACAAAAAAAAACCCCACTTCAGTCCCTTCCTTTCAAAGGGGGAAAAGTGGGACTTTTTAACACTGGACAAAAATCGCATCGTAAATGAATGGCTAATCCCTCAAGTGATTTGAAAACAACAATGGCTCTGATTTCTTATCGTTTACAGACTCTGCCAAAGCCTTCAGTGAAAGGTTAGCACCAATGAGCTCTGGTTTCGTTCATTCACACACAAAACCTCTGTGTACTTCCTGATATAAATATTTTGATGAGTAATACATTCAATATTGACACTGTCGATTTCTAGTTCTCTGGTTTTCTTGGTCATGTTCTGTATTGTACGGTCAAGTTTGTTGGCTTGTATTGTCACTTTAGGGATTTTTATTTTTTTATATATATATATACACACATATATATACATATATATACAATGTTTCCCCGAAAATAAGACACTGTATTATGTTTATTTTTTCTCAAGAAGACACACTAGGGCTTATACCACAAATGCATAGAAATCCTGCTAGGGCTTATTTTTGGGGTAGGTCTTATTTTCGGGGAAACAGGGTAGTGTGCTGTGTACAGTCATGTAAAAATAATTTATTTTATTTAAAACATTTTCACTACTCAGAGATTAAGCCCTCTTTTCCCCTTACTCAAATCAGATGAGTAATGCCTGTAAGCAGGGGTCATTTCGTAGAAAAAGAGCTAGGGGGACTCATTAGCATAACTCATTAGCATATGCCACACCCCCTGACATCACCGGAAGTGTGTCCTCCCCACAGCCGGCGGCGACCTCCAGCGGGCACCAGCAGGGAGCTCCAGGCCCCGCCCTCCCGCACCTCACCCGGGGGGATGGCGTCCCCCCACGTCCCCCCCCCAAATGACCCCTGCCTGTAAGAATGGAGGGGGGGGGGTGTCACTCGCTTTCCAAATTCATACCTTTAAGTTTATAGCAAGGTATCCCAGATTAAACTCACATACAAGGCAATTCGAAAGACACTTTCCTGGGAGTAAGCCCCACTGAGTAGTCTAAGCAGACCTACCTAGAACTGATCTCTCAGAGTCAACCTAGATGCGATACCAGGAGATTAGGGTTACCAGCTCTGGGTTGAGAAATGCCTGGAGATTTTGGGGGTGGAGCCTGAGAAGGGCGGGATTTGGGGAGGGTTACGATGCCATAGAGTGTACTTTCCAGAGCAGCCATTTTTCTCCAGAGGAACTGATCTCTTTCGCCTGAAGATCAGATGTAATTCCAGGAGACCTCCAGCCACCACCTGGAGGTTGGCACCCCTATGTAGATTTGAAACTTTGTTTTATAGCAGCTATTGGGGGAGATGTACAGGGGAGGGGAAGTGTTTTGCTGCATGGGGGAGGAATGTACAAGTATCATATGGGTGTGTTGAGGACAGGAAAATGCCACAACCTCTGTCCAGATTGTAGTCCCCACTGGCTCCTACTAAACTTGGA